GTGACTCAAATGATGGGAAAACTGAAGAAAAGGGAGAAGACGTACTGCAGAGGACGGCCGAGGAGTACAACAAGAAGGGAGTTGACCCGGAACTCAAGTCCAAGTAAGTTAATTTTCATTATTCTAACGTTGGCTTATCTGGACCTTTGGTAGACTGGCTGTAAAGAACTGCACGGCTCGGATGCATGCATTTTCCAAGGAACTTTATGACACAATGGGTGTCCGGGTCTTTATCTTAGGATGTTATCTGAAGCCCGATGGTAATTTGGACGTCTCGACGTACGACTTCAATCAAGAACTCGGGAATGGGAAAGACTTTATTGATAACCATAGCTGGACTTTCCATGAGGAAGGAATATCGGTATCTTCTTGGAGAGCACACAATGAAGAATACTATGGGTTGGAGGATCTTGCTTCGGCCGAAGGAGGACACCGATCCCGGGGTGCTATGACTTTGGAGAAGAACCTATACCTTGAACCTATTCTACCCGATCCATCGAAACCACCACTTAAAACTTCCCGTGATATTCGAATTTGGCGGCTGAATGTTCTTCGTACATTTGTCAACCAGCACTATAGTAAGCCGGTCCCCAGAGATTTCTTGCCCTGTATCACTAAACATTTGTCTACTTAGATCTTGCAGCTGGGCAGAGTAAGGGATCGGCTCCTTGGACGGCTATTGGATCAAAGCTACTTGACTTCATTGATCTAGAATATATACCCCCGGCTTGGAGATCAGTAAATGGAGAAGGTAACAACTTTTACAAGTTTCTTGATCCCTCCAAATTCCCGATGGAGATGGTCACTGAAGCTCTCCAGTTTTGGTATGAACGTCAAGAACAACACAAAGTTGCCTTTCGATTTAAATCCTTTCTTGAGGGGAAAATGCTGCTGGAAGCACCTCCACGAAGGAAAATCAAAGTTCACGTTCCTAAACCTCATGTTCATAGTGTTGGGAAGGGCAAGAAGCCCGGCAGAAGCAAGGGTCAAAGGAGAGGCCGGGCAGCAACCGAGTCACCGTCAGATGAGGAAGCCAGGCCAAAGAGAAAGGAAGGGGTGGAAGATCGGCAGTTCGATGACAACAGTTGGAAGGATTTGGATGTGGACAAGCCGGCCAAGAAACGAACCGAACAGTTTTCTAAGGATGACTGGACTCCTGATCGGGATGGCTCCGATGACGATGGAGAAGACTTGGACGTGGAGAAACCAACCAAGAAACCAACCAAACAGCATGACGAACATCGTGAGGATGGCTCCGATGATAGTGACTCAGACTCCGATAATGGTCAAGAGAGGCCAAAGCAGGATACTCTGACCGAGCCCACAGTGAAACCTAGCAGGGTCAACCCGACCTTGGAAGAGGATAGAGACTCGGGATCAGATTTGGGCTCAGACGATGCTACGATCACTGTAGATACCAGCCCCGAGCTTCAGCCTCGGTACAACGACACCTGGGCTCTCTCCCATGAAGTACCATCGGACACTGAGGTCTTGGCTGATGATACATTTTGGGAAGCTGACCTGGGCTGTGGGGTGGAGTCGGCCGATCGAGCGAAGAAGAGAAAATTCACTGATGAGGAGGATACACCCTGCAAGTTTCCTCGGTTAGAGAAGGGTTACAAACTTGGCCCGAGGAGTGCCCGACCAGGCAAAGTCAAATGCCGAGCTGCCTCAGCTGTTATCCAAGCCACTGTCAAACCAGCTCAAGCAACCAATCTGAGGTCGGACACAACCAAAGCTTCGAATAGCTTTGATTTCACTAAGTCAAGTGGTGTCAACGCAAAACGACCAGTCCCTTCAAAACAAAAGGAGTCAGAGGCCAGTCCCAGTCAGCAACCATCTATTGATGTCCCCACCAAGCCAAAACCAAAACCTCGTCCTATCATTAAAGGCAAGGTTTCTACAGGGGAACTCGGTATAGTAACCCGAGAACGGTCGAAAAAGATTGCTGAAGAAAGTGTTCGTTCCACCCGGTCCAAGAAAGTTTCATTCGTCAGTTAAACCTATCATGTTTAATGATGTTAGTCATTCATGCCCGGGTGCGAAATACATAGCATGTTCAATTATGTTAGTCTGTGTCCGGTTTCAGCAGTGTCACTTTTCGTAGTTCATCATGTTTTCCTATCATGAAAGGCAAGGGTTGAAAAGGTGTTCGTTTGACTAATTGAGCCGGGAGGCTTGTCTTATGACCAATTAAATGTGAGCACTATCCGGCAGCGGGTATCTTCAACCGTGCCCGGGTGCAAACTACATAGCGAACCAACCTCGGTCTTGTGATCTAATCTTCTACTTAAACCCTGGTCCATCCCTTTTGTCCCTCCCCTTCCCCTTGTCTGGGATCTCGTCTGGGATGAATGGCCGTAGTCCTTCTAAAGTAGCGTCCATTGCTGCAACCAGATCACGGTCTGAATCGATTTGTTCACGCAACCGGTCTTTCTCCCTCCTCAAGGTGGCCAAAACATACCGATAATGGCTCGTTGTCGCTATGCTGTCAGGCAGGGATCTGAGCGCCTCCTGGTGAATTTCGCTATGACGAACCAGGTCCATACGATCCATCTCGGTAAACTCATCTCCCCTCGTCAACAATTTATCAAAGGCGGCCTGCAAATTCCTAATCGAAGGGTCGGATGAAGC